TCATGTATAACTAATTAGAACAAATAAAAAGAAAAACATAACAAAAAAGAAATGATCATATGTGATGGAAAGATGGGAAGATGAAGGTAATCAAAGCCTCACTCTCATGGAGATTAAAATCTAATTTAGCGAGCATGCAGAACGAGTTACTAAGGGCAGATTTTAAGGCAACCATCTGCAAGGTTGAACTTTCAAGTAGGAATAAAGTTTGCTGAGAAAGAGGTTAAACTTGCTTGAGCATTGATGGAATATTGGGACTTCATAGTGAGCATAAATGGAGAGATGGTACATTGTTTGATGAGAGACAAATTCAAGAAAACATTTCTGCCACTGATTCAGAAATGCCTGTGTTTTTTCTTTCTCTCCAGGGAAAGATTGGATAAATTAAAATTCATCAATTAAATGTATCATTTATCTTATAAACTTTGAACTTATAGTATTCCTGAGAGAAAAATATTTGGTGGGCATCCATAAATATTAATCATTAGATATCAGTTTAGCAAAGAAATATAGCAGGTTGGAACAGATTTTAAGAAATTACAATGTGGGTTATGAAAGAGAAGTGGAAGAAGCCCAGTGAAAATATTAGAAAATGCAAGTTTCTTCATCCAATGGAATTTTTTCAGAGAATCCTGGCTAACTAGCTTGTTGAGACTTATGATAGCAATAAAAATAGGTCCTTGTACTAAGGATATAAGAATTGGTAAAAGCAAAAGCTGAGTTTATTGAAATTACAAAGACTCTTTCTTTTTAATAAATATTTCTTTTTTGTATTTAAGAATTTGATTCAACAACAGGCAAGAGTTAAAAAGAATATAATAACCTTCTAAAATTTACTTCTATAGAAATTCCACAGATTAAATAGCAATATAGAATTGGAGGAGATGAAAGTATTTTTTCATATTCTAGAATACTGATTATGCAAAGAGATTATGAAATATATTTCTTTCAATGTTAATTTCTCTGGTTCTATTTCAAGGTAATATGGGAGATTCTGACAGTTMTTCGAAGATATAAAATGTTAGTACTGAAAGCTATATTAAAATTGAACCTCCTCATTTTCTATGTGTGAAAAAAAATAAATGTGAGTAGTTGGATGATAAATAAATCAAACATAAAAGAAAGGATAACAGCTTTAAGTGTATATTCACCTATTAACAAAGTATCAAAATATTTGAAGCAAAAATGGGTAGAGCCAAAAAGAAAAATAGACTAATCTATAATTGTAGTTGGAAATTTTAATATTCTTCTTTTAATCATTAACAAAATCATAAGAATAAAAATCAGTCCTGATATAGAAGTCTTAAACAACCAACAACACCTAATATTTTATATCAAACAACAACACCTAACTAATATTTATAGAGTAGTATCTCTACACACAATCGCTAATTGCACATATTTTTCAAGTACATATTGAACATTCTCCAAGACAGGAAATATTCTGAGTGATAAAAATTCAATAAATTTAAGAAGATTGAAATGATATGTTGTTTTCCTACACGTGAATGAAACCAGAAATTGAAAGATGTCTAAGGTATTCCCAAATATTTAGAAATTAAACAGCTTATTTTTAAATTATCCAAGGATAGGTGAAGAAAGAAAAGCAAAGGAAATATAAATATTTAACTATATAAAAATAAAAACACAACTTATGAAAATCTATGGGGAACAACTAAAAAGTGATCAGAGGAAAATTGGTAGCATCACATATGTATACTACAAAAGAAGAACGATCTGAAGTCATCAATCTAAACTTCCATCATAAGAAATTAGAAAACAAAGAGMAAATAACACACAAAGTATGTAACAATAAGGAAGGAATAAAAACAGAAATCAATGAAATAAAAAGCAAATAAGTAGAAAAAATAAATTAAACCAAAGCTGGTTTCCTTGAGAAAATTAAACAGAAAACAAAAAACAACTAAATAGACTGAATAGAAAGAATATACAAAAGGCTAAGTTTAGGAATGAAAAAGGTACATTAATAGAAATCCTTATGATGTTAAAAGTATAAACAGGTAATATTATGATTCACTTTATGTATGACAATTTAAATAAAATGAAATGAATATGAATAAACAGCCTTAAAATGTATTATTCAGAAATCCCAGTTCTAGTAATCTATATTAAATAAATAAAATTTGAACATAGCTTTTTTTACCAAGATGTTTACCAAATGGTTACTTACAGTAGGAAAAAAAAAGCTGGAATCAACCTTAAGTTTATGACAGTAAATTTATAAAATATACTATGATGTAACTGTGATGATGACGATTGAAAATTTCCCATATAGTGTTATTTGCAAAAAGTAGGAGGAGCTGGGAATAGCATGTAAGGCACATGTGTTAAGTGAGAGAAAGAGACAAAGAGCAGGAAACAAAATACTCAACAAATGGTTTATAAATAGATATTTATAAACAAAAACTGGAAATTGTACTCTTAAATTGGGTTAATAAGCTAATTTGATGGATTATTTTTTTCTTCTAAATGTTTTGTTTTATTTTCCAAATTGGCTAAGGAATGAAATATGTCAGTGCCTTATTTTAGCCTTGTATTCCCAGAAGCTGGTTTTATCATTAAATATATATTATTTTTGTAAAATGGAAAAGATATAACCTGTGTTTTGATGCTAGTTGATTTTGTTTTAAATTTTAGAATCAAGCCATTGAGGAAAAATGAATATTATTTAATTATCTTCATTATTCCTCCAGTAGACACATTTGAGGTCATCATACAGGAGCTTCTCCATGAAAATGCCCAATCTTGCAGTCTACCCTTTCTCATCTTTCCAGTTCCAGTGTCAGTGGGCAAAATGTGTATTTGCTTTATCTTGCTTTCTCTTGTCTTTCTTTTCTCTTATCATGCCATAGTCATCAAAGCATCTTTTAGTAGGAAACCATATCRTTACACTTTTTTTTTTGTACTTACAGACTAAACCATGATTTAGTGGAGTTCTCTAGCATTAGTGGAGACCATCACCTTCCTTTCTATTTATGCATTTTCCAACTCCAGCCAGGCCTTTAGTATCCACATCTGAACTACCACAATACTAGCTTGTCTGACTCTAATTTCCCCTGGTTGTTGGAGTATTTAAAAGTGGTTGTTGGAGTATACTTGAGACACAATTTCTTTCCCAGAAATCCTACAGTGAGCAGCACCTATTTCTAATGAAATCCCCATAATGTGTTAGCACTAAAAAAAAAAAAAAATCATGTGGTTGAAAACCTCAGGATCTGCATCTTACGTAGAACTAAATTCCTTAATACATAAAGGCTAAAAGGCTAAGATCTATATACATGCCTTTTTTGCTCAAAATAAATTGCCCTTTTACAAATATGTACAAACTTCTTTTTGCCTTTCTTGGTGACAAAAAATTAAGAAGTTGGTAGCTGGTGCAGAGAATGACACCTAATTCATCAAGCTACCTGAGGCCTTACTAGGTGGGGACCATGTTTTGAGGAATCTTTTAGAGCCACCTTTTGCTATGTAATCATTARCAAAATTCTTGATCTCTTCCACTCTCCAGACTCATAGTTATCCCMCGTCACAGCCTTTTAATTGGTATTCTCACCTCAACACTTGCCCACTCCAATATGTTCTCCACACATTGGCCAAAGTAATCTTTGAAAATGTAACTCAAAGCTATTATTCTACTTTTTAAAACTCTTGATTGCCTTCTGATTGTATTTAAGAAAAAAAGTCCCTTTACCCACATCTGGACCTACTATGATCACCTTCCTCTGYAGAGGCTCAGTATTCCTAATCCATGAGGTCTTCCATGTGTTCTTCAAACACACCAACTCTTTTTCACTTCAGTACTCACATGGTCTGTGACATCATTCCCTCCTTCCCTACCTCCCTTTTAGTTTTCCCATCCCTACCCATAAGCTTCCCCTTAGGTGACTCACTGATTTCATACCCAGCATTGAAATACTGCCTTCAGTATCAATTTCCAGAAGGATCTCTTTGGATCTCAAATCTAAATTGGCATATTCCTATTATTTCCTGCTCTTATAGCAATCATCACAATTTTTAATAATATATTTTGTGTAGTTTGTTATACCTTTCTCTCCTGCCAGCCTTAAGGTTTCCTGATCAATGTCTTGTTTGTTCTTTGTTCAGTACATAATATGTGTCCAATAAATTATTATTAAATGAATGAATAAAATAAAGAAAAAAGAATAATAAATAATTAGAAAAAAATTCATGAGAAAACTGCTATTATTTTACTCTTTATTAATGTATATTAAATCACCCACTTTAATCTGCTTAATTAGTAAACTTATTTAAAGTTGTAATCATCTTTTTCAGCTAAGATTTGGGTAGAAGGACACATTCRTACAACACATGAAAAGAGAGACCTTTTGTGTGGTCATTTTTGTTTGTCTTAAACTTTTGCTGAATGTGTAAGAAGATTAATCATAATGGAAGGCAGGCCAGCTAAATGTATTTAAAAATATCAAATTATTTTTATTGACTCAGTGTTTCCACCTAAGAATTTGTCATAAGGAATAGACCTAAATATGGAAAAGGTTATATATTTAAAGATATTTCTCAGAGTGTTATTTATAGGAGTAAGACACTGGAAACCACCTAAATGCCAAGTAAAATAATGGCTGAGCAAAACTTGTTACATCCACCAGATAGCATATGAGTAATCACTGAGCTGAAGGTTAGGATAATATAATGACTCCCAAAATGTTTATAGAGTAAATGTAAATAACACAATTTTATAACCGTGTTTATAAATCCTATTCATAGACGTCAAAAAAAGACTGGAAAGAAATATGTCATGCTGCCATAGCAATGAGTGATTTCTTTTTTTAGTATATTTTCTTTAATATATATTTTATTTTTTTCAAAGATTATAATTGTATTAAACTATTCACATGTAGTATAGTTTGCATATTGAGATTCTGTCTCAGTTTCAGCACATTTGAGCCTTGGTCCTTACATTTTGTAATAACTGAACCAAAATGTCCTGCTTTCTTTCTTAGGATGACAGAAGCTTTGTTGAAGATTCCCATGCTCATGGATTAGTTCACTCATCTTCTTGGCAGGATTACAGTCGCTTCCTGTCTAGTCCACGATTTTCACACTTGAGCCGTAAGTAATAAAGTCCTGTACCAGTTCTTAAATTGGATTTAAGAAAATGCAACTCATGAGAAAATTAAACTTCAGGACTAGTACATGATCATAATATTCATGTGCTAAGTTTGAGAAAATTTTATCATGAATCATACAAATAATCACCCCAAGTACCTTTATAATATTACCCAATTTGCTTTAAAAATATATATAGAGAGAATATATATAAAAATATATATATTTATATAATCTTTTTTTTAGATCTTACACTTCTCAGAAAAGTCAAATCACCCAAGATAAAATGTTAATTAAGCAAAATTTTTTGTTTGGATATTGTTAATAACTATAAATTGAGTAAAAGAAGTTATTTTTATAATAAAATTCAAATCATCAAAAGGAAGATTTTTGCATATAACTCATCAGAAATATGTGATCTTGTACAAAGAGTTAGACTATGTATGAATCCCATTACCCACTAGAATTCACTCTGTGAATACTCAGTGAATGCCAATAAACTGTCCTCAGCAGCCTAAGCAAGGTATGAGTCCCATGGCTCAGAATACTGTCTTCCACCTTCTATGCCTCCTCTCCTTCTCTTTCTATGCCTGTTTTTCAGCTTTCAGCTTATGTGAAATGTTCTTAAAGGAGGCATTAGAGTTTAGTTTTGAAGGTGATTTCTATTATAAGACCACCATGTGTTACAATTTTCCTTTAAAATATTCCTCAGAATAATAATTATAAAGCCCCTTGATGTTTGAGTGACTTTTGTTTACTGTTTGTTTCCTCCACCAAAGAGTGAACTCATTGAAGATAGGAGAGTGCCTATTTTGTTCACCACTGTTTAGCACTCTACATTGTACTTGGCACACAGTTTTTACCAATTAATATTCAGTAACATTAGATGAACATGCGTTTAAGTCCACTATTATCCAAACTATTGGAATTTCAATATTATTTAATGGATTCTTATTTACATAATAAYGTATTTGTTTAGTTTACCATGGGCCTGAAATGTTGTGCGTTCAATTTGATAATTCTGTCATTTAAAATAGCTAGATAGTTACAAAATAATGTACCAAAATAAGTCACAAGAAATAGGTCAAATCCAAAGGTGATAACTCTCATTTTTGCTGATTAATATTCATAGATTCATTAAATAAATATTTATCAGTTTCTGATAAATGGTTTTGTCATCATTATATCATGATTATTTTATTCCAAAAGCTAAGCATTTTTCTTTCCTGTTCTAATCATTTTACCAAGTGATTTTGTATCCACATAAACTCACTGCTATTCTAATCTGGCAGCACTTTTCAATATGGATTGTATCTCCAGTTAGAAATGGCACCTCAGAATCTGATAGGCAAGAATTTTTATCTCTCATGTTAAGCCATGGAAAACTTCCCAGATCTATTTAATATAACGAAACATGGAAGAGGAGAGTAAGAAGTAATGACAGTTGAACATCAGAAAATTTCATCAATTATGACATTTGAGAGCTTGTAGATAAAAACAGCACCATGACAGGAACATGGAGGTCATATTTCTCCTGATGTTTCATTTTGGTATTGTGACTTTGATAAGGCCCTAAAAAGGCACCTAGATGGAAGTGGTTAGAAGACATTAAGTWGAAAGCATCAAGATTTGTGGAATTTTAGGCAAAGAAAGAAAATATATTCAACTGTCTAAACATTTTATGGCCAGCTTTGGTAATTTTTCAAATTAAGATATTTCTCACAGGCAGCCATAAGTCTCTCTATAAATCTACTGGCTCATTTATTGATTGGGTTATTTGTTTTTTTGGTGTTAAGGTTTTTGAGTGCTTTATATATCCTAGAGATTCGTGCTCTATCTGATGTGCTTATAGTAAAGATTTGCTTCCATTCTGTAGGCTCTCTATTCACCTCACTGACTGTTTCTTTTGCTGAGAAGAAGCTTTTTAGTTTGAATCCATCCCATTTATTGATTCTTGGTTTTAATTCTTGTGCTATAGGAGTCTTACTAAGGAAGTGGGGCCTAATTCGACATGATAGAGATCTGGGCCTACTTTTTCTTCCATTAGGCACAAGGTCTCTGGTTTAATTCCTAAGTCCTTGATCCACTTTGAGTTGAGTTTTGTGCATGGTGAGAAATAGAGTTTTAATTTCATWTTGTTACATGTGGATTTACAGTTTTACTAGCACCATTTCTTGAAGAGGCTATCTTTTCTCCAACATATGTTTTTGGTGCCTTTGTCTAATATGAGGTAATTGTAATTATGTGGGTTTTTCTCTGTGTCCTCTATTCTGAACCATTGGTCTATAGGTCTATTTTGGTGCCAATATCATGCTGCTTTTGTTACTGTTGCTCTGTAGWATAGTTTAAGGTCTGGAATATTAATGTCACAAACTTCACTCTTCTTGCTAAGGATTGTTTGGGCTATTCTGGGTCTCTTATTTTTCCAGATGAATTTCATGATTGCTTTTTCTCTTTTTATGAGGAATGTCTTTGGAATTTTTACTGGAATTGCATTTAATCCATATAGTGTTTTTGGTAGTATGGTCATTTTGACAATATTAATTCTGCCTATCCAAGAACAAGGTAGATCTTTTCTTCTTCTAAGGATTTTTWAAATTTCTTTCTTTAACATTCTGTAGTGTTCATTGTAGAGGTCTTTCACCTCTTTCGTTGATTCCCAAGTATTTTATTTTATTTTTTTAAGGATATTGTAAATGGGGTGGTTTTCTTAGTTTCTCTTTCTGAGGATTTGTCACTGATGTACAGAAATGCCTTTGATTTATGGGTATTGATTTTATATCCTGCTACTTTGCTGAATTCATTTATTAGTTTTAGAAGATTTCTTATGGAGTCTTTTGGGTCTTCTAGGTATAGAATCATATCATCAGCAAATAGTGATAATTTGAGTTCTTCTTTTCCTATCTATATCCCTTTAATTTCTTTCATCTGTCTAATTGTTCTGGCTAGAGTTTCAAGGACTATAGGAACTGAACAGATACTTCTCAGAAGAGGATATACAATCAATCAACAGATATTTGAAAAAAATGTTCAACATCTCTTGCAATTAGAGAAATGGAAATCAAAACTACTCTCAAGATTTAATCTCACTTCAGTCAGAATGACAGCTAAGATTTAATCTCACTCTAGTCAGAATGACAGCTATCAAGAATATAAACAACCATAAGTGTTGGCAAGGATGTGGGAAAAAAATGCACACTGATACATTGCTGGTGGTACTGCAAATTGGTGCAGCCAATCTGGAAAGCAGTATCAGATTCCTTGGAAAACTTGGAATAGAACCACCATTTGACCCAGTAATCCCACTCCTCGGTTTATACCCAAACAACTTAAAAACAGCATAGTACAGGGACACAGCCACATCAGTGTTTATAGCAGCACAATTCACAATAGCTAAATTGTGGAACCAACCTAGATGCCCTTCAGTACATGAATGGATAGGGCAACTTTGGTATATATACACAATGAAACATAACTCAGCATTTAAGGAGAATAAAATCATGGCATTTGAAGGTAAATGGATGGAGTTGGAGAATGCAATGCTAAGTGAAGCAAGCCAATCCCAAAATACCAAAGGCCAAATGTTTTCTTGATATGAGGATGCAGACTCATAATGGCAATGAATGGGGAGCATGAGAGGAATGGAGGAACTTTGATAGGACAGAAAGGGCAGGGAGGGGAGGGGAGGGGGCATGGGGGTAGGAAAGATGGTGGAATGAGTTCAACATCATAAATCTAAGTACATGTATGAAGACACAAATAGTGTGAAAATACTTTGTGTACAACCAGAGACTTGAAAAATAGTGCTCTATATGTGTAATGTGGAATGAATTGCATTCTGCTGTCATATATAACAAATTAGAACAAATAAATAATTTAATAAAAACACAAATCTACTGGTTCAAAAAGAAATAAAACTAAGAAAAGGGAAAACTATCATGGAGAACATAATTTGAATGAGAAAATATTTATTGCACTGTAAAATTTGACTGAAAAAATTAAAAATTAAGACTCATTTAATGAATCATTTAATTATGTTATTGACTAATTCTGTCTTCTGTCTCACACTTCTTTTGTTGACAAGTTTGTTTTAGGATTTATCTTCTAAGCCTCTTACCGTATTTTAAAAAATACTCTTCAAAATTGAGTCACAGCCACCTTATTATTAATTATTATTAACTAGTTAAATTATTTCTAGAAATCRGATTCATTCTTATTTGCTTTTCTGATGAACCTTGAATTTTTTGTTTTTAATAATGTAACTGTTGGGAAATTAGGATCACCGTGAATATTTCTATTTTTGTAACACAAACAAATTTAGCTTAATCATAGARATTGTCCTATAACTTTTCTTTAATCTTCTGTAAACCTCCTACATTAAAAAGAAATGTCAAGGGCTATGGTTGGTTGTAGCTCAGTAGTAGAGCACTTGTCTAGTACATGTGAGTAACTGGGTTCAATCCTCAGCATCACATAAAAGTAAATAAATAAAAGTATTATGTCTATAACTAAAAAGTAAAAACAATAAGAAAGAAATGCAAAACCAACAAAGAGAAAAATGGAATCTATAGCTAAAGATAATACAAAGGAGGTACCCTTGAAGAGATCAGAGAAAATATTAGATCCATTAAAAATAAAAGCAATTATATTATGAAAAAGGAACATATAGGAAAGAGGTCTCAGAATTTTAAAATGATTGCCCTGAAGACCAAATAACAAAACAACAACAAAAAAGAAAAACTTGGAAATGTGGAAAATAAAAATCAAGAAAACCACAAAGAAAGTAAAAGAAAAAAAAACATAGGACAGTAGAAAATTTTTTAAAAAGCCATTTCAAGAGGGACAATCCATGATCAATGGAAGTCTAGTATGAGAGAACAAAGGAAACAGCAGAAGGCTAGGAGTGGCCAGGGTAAAGGGCTCCTCCGACAAGTAGCTGCTGCACAAATGTCATCCTGAGGTTGACGCCTATGCTTCCTGCATCTCATGCCTTTCTCTTTCTTGTTTCACCCCTTTCTTTTGTGGGAGCACATCAAAGAAGGGGAGGTGAATGTTTTCAGTCTTCATATTTCTGAAAATAGATTTCTTCTCTTTATACTCGGTTAATACTAGCTGGCTATGAAATTCTAGTTGAAAATTATTTTCCTTCTGAGGACTTTGAACAGTTATCTTCCAAAATTCAGTGATGGTGTTGAAAAACCATATGTATTTGACTCCCATTCTTTCCAAATGATCTTCTCTGGCCCTCCTATAGCCTCTCACTCCCTTCCCACTCCTGGGAACTTGTAGGAACTGTTCTCTTCAACGTTAATGAGTTTGCAATGCTGTGCCTCCGTGTGGTCTTGTTTTATTCCTTCTTCTAGATACTTGTTGGCGGGGCCCTTTAATCTGGACACTCATGTTCTTAAATTCTCCCATATTAAGGGGAAAAAGGAGAGATTCCTTTGAGAAAATCTTTAGGGAATAAACAAATTATCTGGTAGAGTTGAGCACTTAGAAAAAAGATAAACTACAAAAAGACACAAAAATCTAATTGAGCTATTAGAAACAATTAAGAAAGTCACAGAAAAGAGGAAATAAAAAATAAAATTAAAACATGAGTCAGTTAATAAGTATAGGGAGAAAATGAATAAGAAACATTGTCACAGAATACCTTAGTCTTATGTGAGCTGTATTTATTTACATATTCATAAAAATATAAACACTCAGTATTGACATGACTAAAAGTTTAGATGTAGCTATATTGGGAGGATGGGAATGAGGAGAAGTAGGTGGGTGTGGATAATGTCTAAAAATGATAAGTCAGAAAATAGCAATAAAGACTTATTTTTACAAAAATGAAGCAAATGCAGAAAATAAATCTAAAAGAGTTGGCTGAGGTTGACTCTGAGGAGTGAGACTGTAAGATTAGCAGGGGTTGGGARAGACTTCTGTTTTCTGTGTAACCCTTTGGTACTGTTAGATGTGTATATATACACTTTGGCTAAAAACAAGTCTTATAAAGATAAATGATACTAAGAAAACCTGGGTTTTATGTCTGAATAGCAAATGTCTGATTTTGTTGTTAATTCAAAATGGAATAAGAAGTCTGGCTTTGGACCAGCCATTTGGACATATGCAGACCTCTGGCAARTAGGCACTGACAGTCCTTAGGCAGATGTTCTTGGTGCATAGRACAGGCACCTCCTTCCTTAGGTTAGAATTGTGCTGTACCAGGCCCTTTTGTCTATGCTCTGGACTCAGAGGCATTCATTCTGCTGACATAGGTGCCCTGTCAAACTGTGACCAAACTAAAGCATAGAATCACTGACCATGGAAAAAACAAAGGAAATGGGAAAATACTGCATAATTTGTGGTCTCTGAAATGATCCAGCATTAATGAAAGTTTGTTTTAAGAAGTAATTTATGTCAGCTTTGTGTAGTTCAGGTCAATTCATGAAAAGGTAGATTCCTTCTGCCAGGAAGAAGGAAAGAAATGTATAAATTGTAAGTTTATATTACCATTGGAAATAGGAACACAGAAATCCATTATTTAAAGCCATGATCACTACCAAATTTATCCTGGCTGGCTAGAAGTTATGGCCATGAGTCAGGACACACTTTTAGAAGACTTGAATTCCATTACCTTTCGCCTGTAGACAGTGGGGGCTTAGTGAGAGAGGCTCATAATGTCAGCTTTTGAAACTGTCATTTTTATTTTTTATAAGTAGTGACTGACCACTAGTCTCCATGTATAGCTCCTTTTAAACTAAGGGAACACAACTCCAGGACAGGGCCTTTACTCTCAGGGATGGAACCAGTCTAAACTTGAACAAGATCTCTGTAGCAATCTGATGACCTCTAGAAATCTCCAGTCCTTTGAGACTAAGAGGTTTAATCTCTTTGGAATTAGTGTCTCCAAACCAAATTTTAAAATAAATGTAAATTGCAAATTTTCTGTAAGTTTAAAAATATTTTTAAAACTAATATTTATTAAAATAAATAAGTAAACCCAAAAAGAAAGATCTGTGGTTTTTTCATGGGGCAAAAATGTGATCTAAGAGTTACTGATGTTACAAGTGGATCATACATTTTATTTTAACTTGATATTTTTTGAAAAGCAAATCAGTGAAAGTTGCTTTAAACAAAAATTTCACTTCCTTACCTCAGTTTATATTGCTATAAAAAGAAAAGTTAGCATTCTCAATTTGTATTTTGAGGCACCATTAGTGGGAGTTTAAGTTTCTGGTCAAAAAACAATTTATCCACAGCAAGAAAAAAAACAAAAACAATTTATCCACTGCATAGGTCCAATGGCTATTTTCATTTCATTTTATAGTTCAAGGTCTACCTGGCTAACCATGAGTATATAATTCTTAAGTAATTTGCTCTCAAATTGACATTTATGTGGTAAATGCCAATGATTTATGGCAATAAAAATGGAGGTAMTGCCATGTATGTATATATCAAAATAGCTCTACTGTCATGTATATCTAAAAAGATCAAATTTTTTAAAAGATGGAGGTACTGATAAGGTAAGGAAATCTATGTTTCAGATAGTTTTCACTGACAAGTTAAGTGCCAGATATTTTCAAATAATTGAATTATGATTATTGTGATTTGACAGGTACTTACTCTAGGTTCCCTCTAGAAGCAACTAAAAAATTAGCCATAGACTCCTCTTAAAAATCCCTTAAGTATATTCACTTGATCAACCAATATATATTGAGCCTTGTACACAAGGCTCTGTGTTTGCTTCTGGAGGAGATAATAATGAACAAGACAGACAAGGTCACCTCATCTCATGGCGAAACAGGTAGTCAACTAATAAGCAAATAATTTAAAATGGTGGTCGGTGCTGTAAAGGTAAAATGATGGAAGGTCCCTGGAACAGGACCACTACTTTTGATGGATGATCAGGGGGTGCCTCTCTGAGGAAGCTGCATTTGAGCTAAAACCTGAATGTCAGAAGAACAAGCTAAGTTGATATTGGGTGGGAAGAGTCATTCTGATATGAGGAGTAGAAAGTTCAAAGACCCAGAGAGGGAAGGAACATSGTCTGCTAGAGAGATGGAGCAACCAGAGAGACTGAGAGGATGCAGCCCTAGTGAGATGTTTGGGTTTTTCAAGTTCACTGGAAGGCAGTAAAAGGCAAGGGTGAAGAGGTTATGCAGGAAAATGGCATGACCTTGTTTACTTTTGGAAAAGAAAATTCTGATTGGGGTATGGAGAAAGGAGAGTAAAGAAGCAGGATTAAAAGAGGGAGAGAGAAAAGCGGTGGCCTATGCTGGGATAATAATAATGGAGATGGGATAAAGCAGGACTTAGGTGAATTTGGGAGGTAGTACAAAATATCAGAATTTACTCTTAAATTGGATAGATAGATTAAGCAGAATAAAGGAAGACAGGAGCCAACCTTTRAGAACTTGGGTGGATGGGTGTATAGTTTTCTAAAGTGCAGGAAAGTAAGGAATGAACAGGCATTGAAAATAGAAATCAGGAAGAAAGATTTCACATCAAAGCATTCAGAACTCAAAAGAGCAGTAAGAGGTAGTAGAAAAACAGTAAACCTAGATTCCAAATCTCCTAAGACAGAGCAGATAACAAACAGGATTCTATGAAATAGGAAACCCTTACAATTTCTCTCTTTAATTCAGAGAGTGTGTGTGTGTGTGTGTGTGTGTGTGTGTGTGTAAAGTCATTGTATTCTAAAGAGCAGACATCTCCCACTCTCAGTTACTCACAAATGAAAAACTGAAGTTTTTAAATCATGCATATATGTGTTTTTGAAACATAATAACTGATTTGTTAAAGGTCTATTATAGAATACAAAGTTTAATTACAGAAAACTAGATTGAATATCATGATTAATTAAGTACCTTCTAAAATCAACTTTTTAGCCCTGGTTTTATATTCACACTGGTTTGGTTTTCTCTTTCCTTTAACCTTGCCAGCATTTACCAGAAGGACCGTCGCTCCAGATTCAGCTTCAGTGAAGGAAGATGCCRCAAGTTTACCAATGAATGGAACAAGTTCACAGTCCAAGAAGGAGGACTATGAGAATAAAAAAGGCAAAATGTAATTAGTAACTCTTTGGAGTGGTTTACAAATAATCACAGATCTATCCTTCTGTCATTTGGCCCAGGTCGTCTAACAGACAGACCTGTGGCTTTGGCTCTTTGGTATTACCAGATATGGACTAAAATGGTAACACAGATAGTCTTTGTGAATGATATTTCTTTAATCAATTCAAATAACAGTAAATAATTCCCAATGTGCAGCTTACTTACTGGCAACTTACACCAGCAGAAAAAGTGATACTTTTCTCTTCACATTTTCCTTTTTAACATGCGGTCAGTCACAATTTCCTCACCAAAATTTGGATTTATAATTGATACCTTTCAAAAATAACTGGCTACAAAAGAGGAAAATACATTTCTTTTGAGGCAATAGTTGCCAGCACTTTAGATTCAGGGAGCATTTATATACAATTGATTTTTTTCTCAATGCTTTCTCCCTAATAAATTATCATGTGTTATAACATGTCATGGAGATAAGCATATATAATATTGGACAGTCCACTTTATAAAAGCTCAGGATTGCTATATCCATCATCTTAAAGGTCTACTACTACATATAATAGCAATGTAGAGTTTATAAATGATATCTGAATTCTAGAGCACTGTAAAGAGTTCATAGCACAATTTATTTATTTGTCTTTTGTGGCCAAATATTCCACTGTGATCACTCCAGTCATATCCTGGACCATCTTTTGTTTTTACTATGATCAGAATCTCAACACCAAATTTCTGTGCCCATGAGGTTCATTCTGCAAGAGTTTTCATATAATTTGGTACTGTCTTATCTGCTTTTCACGTCCGCTTTTCTCAACATTGATGTGTTTACAAGAACTTATCCCCTTTACAAACTGATCTACCAGGAGAAAGATTTATATTTAAATGCTAAATACTGATAAATATCTAGGAACTGAATCCTAGTGGCTCATGGTGGAAAGATTCTGTACAGAGGCAAGGACAATAAAGCAATTCCTTTGTAATGTGTGTTACATTTTTTTGTTTGTTAAAATATATTTGCTTACTAGACTTCTCACATTTCATAAAGCTTCTATTTCCACTCAGCATGTTTTCCTAACTTTCCATAACTGAGAGTGCAGAAATTAGCACTCCCTTTCCCTGAACAGAAATGCAATTCTTATTATAGAAATGAAGATGTTGTATATCCAAAAATTAAATAACACAAACTTCATAGTCTTTGAGACTACAACATAAATTTATCATTTAATTGTTCTAAAACCCTCTTATTGAGTTCCTAATACATGCTAGTCATGCTAGAAGAAATACCAAAGCAGGTGTATGCATTCAGAAGCATGCTTGATATTATGAATTACATGTGTTTAGGCCAGCTGAAAAAAAATCAGACAACATGAAACAAATTTGATTTTATCTAACCTCATAACTTAACAGGGTTGTTAATGTACATTTTGAGGTTTTTAACTCCAGTAGTTCTTTGAAAATCAGGTCACAGTCCTAGTATTCTATGTAACCTGTATCAGTCTAGGGAAATCTTTAGGGTATTGAGAAATTATCACAATTTCTCAACTGATGTTTTGTGACTCCATAATAGTCTATTTCTTGGGCCTAAATGACTCCTAGTGAATAAAATAGGGAACAAAATTAACAAATTTTGTATGAATTTCAAGGATAAAGGTTAAACAGCTTTCCCCTCTATATATTAAGTAGGGGAACTTCATGCCACCCATTTGGTTAAAAGCGAAAAGAATTGATCTGAACCATTATAGCACATCTGTGGTCACTGAAGGGGGAAAAAAAAAAAGGCCCATTTAGTTAGACCTGAAGTTTAAGGGAACTCAGATTATTTACTTGGAAAATCCTTGAAAACATATTAGCTGGTGATTTTATAACAGAATAGAGAAGATTCTTGTCTTTAAAACCCTTTTAAATCTGAAAAGCAAATAAGGCCATTATATCATGTTATTGAATGCCCCTGTGCTGCAGCTGGATGAATGAAGGTGTCTGATTTTCAATGTGGATCACACAAGAACTTCAAAGGCAAAGTCAACTTTTTGTGAGCAACGATTTTGTCAAAATTCCTTGGCCCTGTTTACATGGAATTAAATCCAAGGACCTGTCTCCTCTGAGGATTTTTCCTATCTCTTGCAGTTACCGTAAGCTTGAGTTGGAAATCAAAAGGAATGCTAAGGAAACACTAAGAGCTCGATTTGTACATTTCAAAGCCAGCAACTGTTTTTCCTTTACTCACCCTTTGGCAGCGTAGCCTCAATTACGTGTGATATCGGCCCCATTTGAGTTGTAGCTGGTCAGCCATATTGCTTGTAGCACTGGGGCATTGGAAGGGATAAACCTTATTCTGCAATGATCCTGGTCCAAGACTTAATTTGAAGATTGACCTTTTTGGTTTAATAATTTTGATTCTTCTGGCCGTCTTTCTCCCTAAACACACTAAACTTCCACTGAAGTTGCTGAAGGCCACAGAGGGGAAGAAACACAGCTGGGAGAAATCTGGCTTGATATTTTTCCCATTGGCTAAGGTCATTATTATTTCCTTGACTAGTGTCTGACTTGAAGGTTGAAAAACCAGTTGGTTATATAACATTTTATGCACTCAGTTTCCCAGAACCACCAACAAGGAGATAAAAATCTGTAGCTTGATAAAATGGTGTGCATGTAGCATTTAGATTTAAAGGTTACATGTATAAAAAGCATGTCTATTTACCTAAGAGAACAATTAAGTCTGTTTTTCTTTCATTTTTCTCATCACAACTATGGTAAATGCATTTTTTATTTTGAATCTTGGGTTCAGTGGTATGCAGAATATATTTAGAGTCACAGTGATTGTTGTTGTTCCTTTATTTAATCTATATTGAGTTTTTTAGATGAAAAATAACAGTATTTTAAATGGGGCCAAATTCTTATATATAGCAACATGGCATGTTTATTTAGCAAGCTCTTTTTTTTAAGAAGAAATAAATATCTCAAATTGTTTTGCTCAGGATTTATGCTTATTATAAACACAGCTTCATGTCACACAGTAGCCAAGAATGTGAATGATCATTGAGTAAGTTATTCCTTTTCAAAGATTCTTATGCCCCCTCCCCAAACTGTTCCAGTATTTTCTCTCAATTTTAAACAAACAAAAAGGAAAATTCAGGATTTTCATGGCCTTCAAATGAGGAAGCAGTTCTCACGAAAGCATCTGGTTTTCTTGGATCCAAACTTAACCATTAACCTTAAGCTGGAAAGCAACTTGGAGAGTTTGTATATAAAGGCATTTCATGCACCAAAGTATGATATAAAAATAGTTACATCTTTCAACTTAAATTCTCAAATGTTTAGCAATAGGAACCTATCAACTTATCCCTATTTGAGAAAAGAAATCTAAAACATGAAAGCTTTCATTTAGTTTCATATCTGTACAAAATATAACACATGTAATTTAAGGCTAGGAAAAATACTTAGACAATGAGAAGCAAAACTTTGGATTCCAAGTCCCAAATACATTTCAAAGAAGTTGCCCTTACTCTTGATTAGTAGATTAGTAACAAAGTAAACCAATCTGCTCAGCTCTGGTGAAACCAGCCCAACCCTCACATCCTCACCTAATCTGCCCCATCTTCCCTTCTGTTCTGTCTACATGTGTCCACGTCCTACCTAAATCCAATTCTGACACAAGTCATTCTTAGTACCTACCAAAGCAACCTCTACCGTTACCCTCTGAAGTCTAGTAACTGTCCACTCCACACTGAAGGGACAGAATATCTGAGGCAAAAAGCACCTGCATTTCCTTACAGAAATCACCGATTTTTATGTCCCATATCTTTGGCTACTCTTGTGTCTGAAACCCTAGGAATACATCTGTGGCGAGATATCTTTCCTTCCTTAGCACAGCTTGAATCTGACTTCCTTGCAAAGTCCTTTGAAAATTATGAACACAAGTTTTCCCATCTTTCTCTGTAGTAATATACTGGGTTTCTAAACATGGCAACATGTTAGTTCTCTTTGGGGAAGATAGTGAAAGCAATATACAGTCTGATGATTCCATATTTCATCATGTACAATCTATGTATCTGAAGTGGGCACATGAAGAACATGGATGCTACTATAGTCAAAATAGAGCCATGAAACATTTATMACCTGTACACCCGAAAGGAACTTACTGGGTTTTAAAAGATTGAAGTTGCACAATTGCCATTTCCTAGAATGGATGTTCTGTTTTCCTCAAACTGGCAGATGCTAGACGTCTGCTGTCTGTCATCTTTCCCTATATCTCCCATGTCATGATACCTCTCATTTTTTATTTTTTCAGTAAAGCATTTTGACTGGCATTATTTAAATAAAAACAAAAATTACAGTTTATCCTTAGAGCTCCATGCCATCTTAGCTGTGTATTTCACTGATAATAAACTATCAGAATACTGGCATAAAGCAGTTTTGATTTTTTTCAGTGGATTCTAAACTACCAACAGTTCAAATGTTACAATTTAAAAATAAGAAAATATTCTGCAGGAAAGTAGGATAATATTATGTGTCCCTTAGTCCCTAATTGATGGTCTCCTTTAAGTCCTGATGAATATTTTTAAATTATACTTGCTTAAAAGGGTGGGCTCTAATTTTTATAGTATTAGGTTTTCCATTAAATTATAGCTTCCTTTTGTTTTTTCTTACAAATTTTTCACTTGAGTCAGGTGTACTTGTGAGTCATTTGAAGCCACATAGAGTCAAATGGCTTTTAAAAGCCCCAGCCACTTAGCCAGCAATGTGAAAACATAACTTCAAGACAGTGTGGCTCTCTTTGTCCTTGAAATACTGTATTTCTGCTGGAAACATTTCCTCCCGCCCAGTATCTCTCAGTTTCCTTCCCTAGTAGCCAGTCTTCTACTCCAAGAATTTTGGAAGCAGCTTTACATCTTTTAGGACTGTGAACTAGAGTCATGCTCCTTTGTCCTGTCATGACTTCAAGACAAGAGGACAATGGAAACAATAAAGAGTTAGTGAGGTTGAAATGTGAAACACTAATGTTATTTTTCTCAAGATGTGGGATGCTCTGTTAACCAGGTGGGAAAGCTTCTCAGTAAAACAAGATCATTATTCATCATTGTATGATGATACTACACAGCTTTTTTTTTTGGGGGGGGGGACCAGGGATTGAACCCAGAGATGCTTAACCACTGAGCCACATCCCAGCCCTTTTATTTATTAATTTAAACAGGGTATTGCTAAGTTGCYTAGGACCTCACTAAGTTGCTAAGGCTGGCTTTTGAACTTGTGGTCCTCCTTCCACAGCCTCCGGAGTCACTATGATTACAGGGGAGTGTCAATGCTCCCAGCTCCCAGCTATTTTTAATATGGTATTTATATATCTTCATATACCAGTCAATGTATTTATGTTACCTT